TCTCTAAAGGATAACTTCTTTTGCTGTCTAATTCTCTGGCACGTGACACTTGAGGGCCGGAAATGGAGCCCCATGGGCGGAGGCAATGCATCTTGATTCCAGGGAGGAAGAAAGAAAACATAACCTTTGTAATTTTGGTACCTGCTCTTATCCCATGTTTAAGAGGCTTATTTTAGCTTGGACAGAAAAAGAATGCTGATGTCTAAATTACTACAATAAGAGTGTCATCATTCACTTGATGACAGCTGAGAAATGTCTGACAAAAATGCTTTGCCTGAAAACCCCCAAATGTAGCATATTTATTTTCCAATGACAGCATGGAAAACAGACTGGAGATCCTTCGTACAAGAGTAGTCTTCTGAGCAACTTGCTTTATCTATTTATCATTAAATCACACTCAATTCTGGCTAAGAGTTTCGTTTTGTTGAGCTCAGCACACTGGCGACTTAATCATTAAATGCCACAAACCACTGTCAGACACACTTGAATTCATTGATGCGAGAAGACGGGTGGGTCCTTCTTTAGCAGGGAAGTGATGGAGGAAGGAAACAGTAAATCCTTTCAATCATCGTGCACACGGGAGCACTCCCACTCCTTAATGAGCACAGAAGACTGGTTTTGCAACCTTGGATGTTGTCAAGATTGAGAACAAAAACAAGGAGAGGGAGAGAATTCGGCTGCAGCTTTTTTTTTTTTTTAAGATTTTGTTATCTTCCTTAAAAAAAATTATGACAGATATAGTATCACAGCTTCCCAACTCGTGAGCCCTGAATGAGAGACAAGGTGTCTCCACAGGGTCCAGGCGGCAGAAACCACCACTTCCCCAGAGCAGCCTTTTCGACTTGCCCCAGGGCGTGGTACCAATACCATCGTTTTCCACGCGCACCACAGCCTGGAAAAGAGCAGGAGTCACTGTCGTATACATGGGCACAGGGACATGAAAGGTGCCTAGGGCTCGGCGGTGCTTTGGGAGGTGATGGTGTGGGTTGGGATGCTACGTGGATGCAGAGGACATCATAAAAGCACAGGTCTCACCCGACGGTTGAGCCTGGCATGACACTGAAGAGCTTCCCATCACAGGACGAACTGCTGAGGCTTGAGAAAGGGGCAATGGCACCACTGACCACTGCAGACCGGGGACCACTCCCTCTTCCTCTGGATTTAACTTGGTTTAAAAACAAAGTAACTGATCTGACACAGACCAAAAGCCATAGAGTGACTCCTGCTGGTGATACCACCTAGCGGGGTGACTAATATTTCAGGACAAAAACAAGGACTCACGACTGCAAAGAGTTGGCCATGAGGGGACCGGAGGCAGGAGAGCAGCCATGATGGGGAATCTCAGACAAGGCTTGGAGTCCAGTGAAACGCTGGAAAGAGGATTCCGAAATTTCTAGCTGGGACAATGAGGTGGGTAGTGAAAACCAAGTGAATCCTAAAGGTTTAATAATAATGGACATGTTGGATTTCTATTTTCCTTTTCCACACAAAGAAAAACATGCATAATTAGTAAACATTAGATGGGAGAATCACACTGCAAAAATCTCATGGGAGACAACAAGCAGGTCATCGGGTTCAAAAGACACTTTGATTTGTGAAAACAAAGTGACTGCCTTGCCCTGCCTCCATCTGGAATAGGTATTTTTCCCATTATCCATTCTCACTGCATCCTGTGCTACAACAGAAAAGCACAACGCTCCCTGAGATGAAAACAAAACAAACAACAGCTCCGCCGCCACTACCAACCAAAAAGGTCACCCTGTCTCGCTCAAATTCTCAACGGGAATGAATCCTTGGACCACTTCTTCTAAGTTACTTAGTCTATAAGCAAAACAATTTTACCTCTGACTTTTGCAATTCTGATATAACTACTGGAGATATTGCATTAAAAACCCCTACTGTTTCTATCAATACAGACCAACTGTAACTTTGTGACTTTGCTACCATTCCTCCCCTGTGTGTTTGTAAACTGCACGTAAAAACGATTTTCTCTATATGTTTCTTTTTGGGAGTCTTTACATTTAGAGTTGGGCACAGGAAGGTGTGTGGACAGACTCAGGAGAGCTAACAAACTGTGCTGCCCCAGAAGGGGTCTCCTTGTAGAGTTCTTGTGGGATGCCTGCGCTCGGGTGGCAGCTTGACTCTTGCAGACTACGCCTGTTTCTGTGTTGCTTGTTTATATCTGTTCCGATTTCTATTTCAGGACTAAGCCTATTTCTGGTATTGATTTGTGTGCCGCCACTTGGTTCCCCCATTGGTGGCAGCAATATTGAGTGGCGGTTTTCTGGTCTAACCACCTGTGTGCTCCTGAGTCCCTTCCCATGCTGATGTTACATCACTCTGAATCACTGATACCGTCCTCTGTATAGCTGGCCTTTGCGATGCAACATGGCAAACTCAAATCTCTCAACCCAGCTTTAGAGAAGAGTTATTTAAAAAAAAGTGTCAGCTGGAATGGAGAACAGCCCTGCATGAGGAACATTGTGCCTCCTTCATCTGTGAGGCCTTGGTACCTTCTTGGCTTCCCTGTTTCTGGAGCTGTTAAAACTGACCTCTGAGTTTTCGCTAAGATGCTCTAAATTAATTTTTTCCTTTTTTTATGGTCTTAAAAAAACTCATAGTAGAAATTCACCATCTTATCCATTTGAAGTGGGCAGTTCAGGGATATTAAGTAAACTCATACTGTTGTGCAACCATCACCACCGTGTAGCTCCAGAACTCTTTTCCTCTTGCAAAACTGAAACTCTTTTAAACCATTAAATAACTCCCCGTCCCTCCAGCCCCCTACAACCAACATTCTACTTTCCATCTCTATGATTTTGACTACTCTACCCAACTCCATACAAGTGGAATCATATAGTGT